GCTGGAGGAGGTTTTGGGATGGGGCTGGAGGAGGTTTTTGAGAGATGAGGCTGAAGGAGGTTTGGGATGAGGCTGAGGAGGTTTGGGATGAGGCTGGAGGAGGTTTGGGATGAGGCTGGAGGAGGTTTGGGATGAGGCTGGAGGAGGTTTGGGATGAGGCTGGAGGAGGTTTGGGATGAGGCTGGAGGAGGTTTGGGATGAGGCTGGAGGAGGTTTGGGATGAGGCTGGAGGAGGTTTGGGATGAGGCTGGAGGAGGTTTGGGATGAGGCTGGAGGAGGTTTGGGATGAGGCTGGAGGAGGTTTGGGATGAGGCTGGAGGAGGTTTGGGATGAGGCTGGAGGAGGTTTGGGATGAGGCTGGAGGAGGTTTGGGATGAGGCTGGAGGAGGTTTGGGATGAGGCTGGAGGAGGTTTGGGATGAGGCTGGAGGAGGTTTGGGATGAGGCTGGAGGAGGTTTGGGATGAGGCTGGAGGAGGTTTGGGATGAGGCTGGAGGAGGTTTGGGATGAGGCTGGAGGAGGTTTGGGATGAGGCTGGAGGAGGTTTGGGATGAGGCTGGAGGAGGTTTGGGATGAGGCTGGAGGAGGTTTGGGATGAGGCTGGAGGAGGTTTGGGATGAGGCTGGAGGAGGTTTGGGATGAGGCTGGAGGAGGTTTGGGATGAGGCTGGAGGAGGTTTGGGATGAGGCTGGAGGAGGTTTGGGATGAGGCTGGAGGAGGTTTGGGATGAGGCTGGAGGAGGTTTGGGATGAGGCTGGAGGAGGTTTGGGATGAGGCTGGAGGAGGTTTGGGATGAGGCTGGAGGAGGTTTGGGATGAGGCTGGAGGAGGTTTGGGATGAGGCTGGAGGAGGTTTGGGATGAGGCTGGAGGAGGTTTGGGATGAGGCTGGAGGAGGTTTGGGATGAGGCTGGAGGAGGTTTGGGATGAGGCTGGAGGAGGTTTGGGATGAGGCTGGAGGAGGTTTGGGATGAGGCTGGAGGAGGTTTGGGATGAGGCTGGAGGAGGTTTGGGATGAGGCTGGAGGAGGTTTGGGATGAGGCTGGAGGAGGTTTGGGATGAGGCTGGAGGAGGTTTGGGATGAGGCTGGAGGAGGTTTGGGATGAGGCTGGAGGAGGTTTGGGATGAGGCTGGAGGAGGTTTGGGATGAGGCTGGAGGAGGTTTGGGATGAGGCTGGAGGAGGTTTGGGATGAGGCTGGAGGAGGTTTGGGATGAGGCTGGAGGAGGTTTGGGATGAGGCTGGAGGAGGTTTGGGATGAGGCTGGAGGAGGTTTGGGATGAGGCTGGAGGAGGTTTGGGATGAGGCTGGAGGAGGTTTGGGATGAGGCTGGAGGAGGTTTGGGATGAGGCTGGAGGAGGTTTGGGATGAGGCTGGAGGAGGTTTGGGATGAGGCTGGAGGAGGTTTGGGATGAGGCTGGAGGAGGTTTGGGATGAGGCTGGAGGAGGTTTGGGATGAGGCTGGAGGAGGTTTGGGATGAGGCTGGAGGAGGTTTGGGATGAGGCTGGAGGAGGTTTGGGATGAGGCTGGAGGAGGTTTGGGATGAGGCTGGAGGAGGTTTGGGATGAGGCTGGAGGAGGTTTGGGATGAGGCTGGAGGAGGTTTGGGATGAGGCTGGAGGAGGTTTGGGATGAGGCTGGAGGAGGTTTGGGATGAGGCTGGAGGAGGTTTGGGATGAGGCTGGAGGAGGTTTGGGATGAGGCTGGAGGAGGTTTGGGATGAGGCTGGAGGAGGTTTGGGATGAGGCTGAGGAGGGTTGGGATGGGGCTGAGGAGGGTTGGGATGAGGCTGAGGAAGTTTTTGGGATGAGACTGGAGGAGGTTTTTGGGATGAGGCTGGAGGAGGTTTGGGATGAGGCTGGAGGAGGTTTGGGATGAGGCTGGAGGAGGTTTGGGATGAGGCTGGAGGAGGTTTGGGATGAGGCTGGAGGAGGTTTGGGATGGGGCTGAGGAGGTTGTGGGCTGCAGCTGTGCCCTGTGCCCCCAGATATCTACGTGTGCATGATCTCCTCCGCTCACAACGTGGCGGCGCAGGGCAAGTACATCGCCATCGCCAGCACCACCGTGGAGACCGCGGACCCGGAGAAGGAGATCAAGCCAGCCTTGGACCTCCTGGAGCCCATCGAGCAGAAGTGAGTCCCTGGCCAGCCCCTGCCCCTCTCCGCTGGGACAGCTGCAGGTTGCCAAGAGCTGTTCAAGCTGAGTTTGCTCAGCACTTGGGCGCTGCCCTTGCCTCGAGCCGCTCCTGCTCTCAGGCCGTCCTTTTCCCAAAGCAGAGCAGAGCAAGGCTCTTTGTTTGTCCCTTCTCCAGGTTCGTGAGCATCAGCGACCTGTTTGCACCGACCGACCCGGGAACCGAGAGCCAGGTGAGTGAGGGCTGAGCCGGGCTGGGAGGGGACGGGCTCCGGCCCGCGGCTCCAACGCCGCCTCTGCTTCCAGATCTTCATCTCGCGCACCTACGACGCCACCACCCACTTCGAGACGACGTGCGACGACATCAAAGACATTTACAAGAGGATGATGGGATCAGAGTTCGACTTCGAGGAGATGAAGCGCAAGAAGAACGACATCTACGGGGAGGAGGAGCAGCAGTAATGAGAGTCTCTAATTAGGAGAAGTTTAAATCGGCTAATATGAATATATAAGGAACTTAATGAACACTGTACGAAATTCAATATTGTAAGGCCTGCTTTTGTAATCCCATCTCTGAGAGATTGAAGAGTACTGCACTGGTAACGTTCCCTTTTTGGATATCATGTGTTCATTATTTCATTCTAGTAGGGCTGCTGTCCAGAATCTGGCAAATTCCTGACTGATATTCCTGACTAACCTCGTAAGCGAAAGGCAGACTGAACTTACCGTTATTATTATTATTATTTTTGCAGACGTAGACGTGGGTGCAGATTTGAAATAACTCATTGACAGCTGTGTCTTACCTTGTCTTTTTAATCATTTGTAAAACATCCTTCACAATCCTGTGCTTCTGGTGAGCTCGTAGCTGTGACGCTCGTGTCACTCAAACCTGATATCAAGGAAAATAGAAACCGAGCACTCCATTATTGTGGACAGCATCCCTAAAAGTCTCTCCCATCGATCTTAACTCTGTGGCAAAGTTGTATCATGGACAAAGCCCACACCTATTGTAGCAGCAAACGTTGGCTTCGTTCTGGGCACAGAACTTAACCTCCACTTAAGCTTCTAAACCCGTTTACAGCGGTTGGGACACAGCTGTGCCTCAGGCTCCTTTGTGTTTTAATCTTAATAAAATTGAGAGAACAAATTACAGAGCAGGCAAGATGTGGAAGTATTTTCTGTCCCCCGGTGGCTTTTCGGATGGACCAAACGGCGCTGCGGTATCGGCATGACGGAGCCTGTGCTTCTCGTGTCTCCTGAAGGCTCCAAATGATTTCTGTACTGCGAAGTAAAGCCAAATTCTGGAAACCACTCCTGGCCTCTGGTCTGATTCACTGCAGTTCTGGGAGCAGCAGCTCCAGGCTGAGATCCTGCAGCATCTCTGCCTGCTGCCAGGGGTGAGACGGGAGCGTTTCCTGCAGGAAAGCATTTCCTGTTTCCGTGCTTCTTTCCAGGCTGTGCTGCTCTGGCTGCGTTTGGCAGGGCAGGTGTGGCTCAGGCTGGGCTCTGGCACAGTCCCCGTTCCCTGCAGCCAGCCCAGGGCCACAGCTGTAAACAGCAGCAGAACAAATAATTCCTGTTCGGGCTGCTCTCCATCCTCAACACGAGCTGTTCAATCCAGAGATCCTTCCCCATCCATGCCTGGCTGGCACAGGCGTGCCAGGAGAACCGAGGGAAAGCCTCGGAGCAGCTCTCCAGGGTGCCTCAGTGGCACGCTGAGATCCTGCAGCATCTCTGCCTGCTGCCAGGGGTGAGACGGGAGCGTTTCCTGCAGGAAAGCATTTCCTGTTTCCGTGCTTCTTTCCAGGCTGTGCTGCTCTGGCTGCGTTTGGCAGGGCAGGTGTGGCTCAGGCTGGGCTCTGGCACAGTCCCCGTTCCCTGCAGCCAGCCCAGGGCCACAGCTGTAAACAGCAGCAGAACAAATAATTCCTGTTCGGGCTGCTCTCCATCCTCAACACGAGCTGTTCAATCCAGAGATCCTTCCCCATCCATGCCTGGCTGGCACAGCCGTGCCAGGTGCCAGGAGAACGGAGGGAAAGCCTCGGAGCAGCTCTCCAGGGTGCCTCAGTGGCACGGGCTTCCCACTCAGGAGCCAGGGTTTGATCCATGGCAGTCCCGAAGCTGAGCTGAGCCCGCCCGGGGCTTCCCCTCTCCTTCCTTCCTTCCTCCCAGCCGGGCCTTCTGGCACTTCCTCCTCCCGAGGTGCCACTCCAGGAGGAACCCTTCCCACGGGCTTCCCACTCAGGAACCAGGGTTTGATCCATGGCAGTCCCGAAGCTGAGCTGAGCCCGCCCGGGGCTTCCCCTCTCCTTCCTTCCTTCCTCCCAGCCGGGCCTTCTGGCACCTCCTCCTCCCGAGGTGCCACTCCAGGAACCCTTCCCACCCTCAGCTGCTGGAGAGGGGCTGGGGAGGCTCCCTCTGCGCCATGCCCACAAGCCAGGTGGAAAAGAAATGTTCCAATGATGCCATTTCCCTACCTGCTGGAACCTCCTCATTCCTCTGGTTATTCCATCCCATCCCTGCCTGCTGGAACCTCCTCATTCCTCTGGTTATTCCATCCTATCCCTTGGAACCTCCTCATTCCTCTGGTTATTCCATCCTATCCCTGCCTGCTGGAACCTGCTCATTCCTCTGATTTTCCATCCTATCCCTGCCTGCTGGAACCTGCTCATTCCTCTGATTTTCCATCCTTCCTGCAGGGAAGCACAACGGGATCCATCATCCATCAGCTCACCACGGTCTTGCTCGCTCCTTGCTGCTTCCCAACCTCTGTCCCAGCTGGAAAATCCCCTGCCCTGTCTTTCCCTGTTGGAAAGGGCTGGATGCTGAGCGGGATCCCCTCTCCAGGAAGCAGAGCCGTGTGAAACTTGGTTATTTTGGAGGTTTTATTAATCAAACTCTTTTTTTGTACAAAGTCATCCTGTACAGAACGGCCTCGCAGTCTTGGATTTAAAAACGAACTAAAGGAACTCTGCAGCCCCGCGGAGCCGGGTCGGGAGCGGGCTCGGCCGCGCCGCGTCCCCCATAAATAAAAGCTTCTTTTGTTCCTGATTCCACGTGCTGGGATTCCTCGAGTCCCAGCAGGGAACCGGTACCAGGAGGCAACGGGGGTGAGCTGAAATGTAGTGTGGGCCTGAACAGCAACAGCCACATGGAAAAGGGATTTGTTCTCCTTCCTAATCTTCAAGTAGACTTTGGGAAATTCATTTGCCTGCCCCAGCGGCAGCTGCACGAAAAGACTTGGAACCACTCCAAAAATTTACCTGTACCGTTAAAAAAATCCTTTCCTATGTGAGACTGGATGGCAGGGAATGAATCCCCTGAGGATTTGCATTTCCCACCTTTAAATAAGATTTCTGTACAGAGCTGAAACTGACTTTCCCCCACCCCCAGCAGTGGCTGGGATCCACTGGGATGGGTAATAGGATTGATTGAGATGGATGGTGGGGGATCCAGTGGGATCACTGGGATCCACTGGGATTGATGGTATTGACTGGGATGGTTGGTGGGAATCCATTGGGATGGTGGGGATGTCCCCCACAGGCCTGGGGAGGAGCCGTGTCCTGGTGGCTTCACTTTGTCACCTGCAACACAGAGACGTGGCCCAGGTCAGTGCCCAGCCCCCTGTGGGCAGTGCCAGCCTCCTGCAGAGCCTCCCCAGGGCCAGGCCTGGAGTTTTCCCCGTTTCCCAGCAGTGCCAGGCGTGGCTCTCCTGGATCCAGCTGCAGGATCAGAGTGCTGACCGGCAGATCCCATATCCAGCACTCTGGGATGGTCCCTGCTCTGCTGTGGGACCCCAGCTCCCTGCTGGCCACCCCACAGACAGCCCTGAGCTGTTCCCAGCGGTTTGGGATCAATCCCAAGCTTTCCCCTCTTACCAGTAGCTTCTTCTGAAGGGAGCAGCCACTTCCTGCACCGTCCCGAGGAAGGTGCTGATGTCAGCCACAAGAATCCCTTTGCTTTCCAGGATCTCCCTGCAGCTGCTGCTGGGATTTTCTGCAAGGGGAGGAGCAGCAGCTCTGTTAATCCCAACAAAGGAGGCTGTTCCTAAACACGTGGGAAATATCCCTAAACCCCACCGTGGTTGCTCTGGTGCTTTGCCAACAGCCACACCCACCCCCAGGCTCCAAAAACCGCTGGAATCCATCAACCTCCAAAAATCCCAAATTCCTTTTCACCCCTCACACCTGAGCCGCGCCTCGAAGAAGCCATTCCCGCAGGAAACCAGGGATTTTCTATCCCTCCCCCACCCCTTCCCAGGGCACTTTCAGACCCGCAGGCTTTGGGATCCCTTTACCTGTGAGGTACACGGCGAACCTGGCGCGGACGTGCCGCGCCTGCAGCTCCAGCAGGCACTGGGCGCGCCGGGGCTCGGCCGCCGAGTCGCAGCCGTGGAAGGGCAGCAGCTCCAGCAGCTCTGCCCCCTGGCACCACCTCAGCAGCAGCTGCTTCTTCTGGACACTGGCATCGTCCCTGCTGAGAGAGGGGCACGGCTCAGGGGCTTGCTCCCTCCCCAGGGAATGAGCAGGGAGGGTGGGATCTGCTTTTCCAGCCCCACGGGTGGTTTTTGGATCCAAATTTGGCAAATCCCCCCTCGCTCCAGGGCTGCCCGTGCTGGTTTTGCCTGGGGTTGGTTCATTTTCATCTCGGGGCTGCTTCTGGGGTTTGTGCTGGGAGCTGTGGGTAGGTCAGGGAGGTTCTGTTGTTGCTGGAGCAGGGTTTGGAAAACCAAGGCTGCTCCTCACACCCCACAGGGCCTGGGGGACACAAGGCCAGGACAGGTGAGTGCCACTGTCCCAGGGGATGTTCCAGAGCCTGGAATCAGGCTCAGGATATAAAGCTGGGAGGAGGAGAAGGAAGAGGAGATGCTGGGTGATGATGGAGCGCTTTCCTGGGGATGGCCTGTGATGGAAACGGGGATGAATTCCTTGTTTTCCCAGCTTTTCCTTTCCCTGCTAAACTGCCTTTATCCCAACCCAGGAGTTTTCTCACTTATCCATGATGAACCCATGCCAGAGCAGCTCCATCTTCAGCCATTCCTGGTGGGAACTGGAGTGGCAATCCCTTCTCTGCACCCCCAACTCAGGGCCCCACCCCTCCCCAAATCCCAGATGTGAAGGGGCAGGAAAGGGATCAGAGCCCCAGGAAGGTGCCCTGAGCTCCTGGGGGTGTGTCAGGAGCTGGGATGAGCTGGTGGGAAGGGAGGGAAGTTTGCTTTGGGAATTTTGGGAATGTGCATCTCCTCAAGGGAAATCTGTGCCTCTCCAGGAGCCTGCAACACTCCCTGAGGGCATCTCTGCCAAGGAGCCAGGGAAGAGCCTTATGGAAGCCCAGCAGGGAACAAGGAGAGCTGCCAGAGCTCTGCCTCATCCAGGAACACATCCAGGACAACATTCCAGGCCATCTGATGCTCCCCAGGTCCCAAGCCCTGCTGCTCCATCCCAAAAATCCCTAATTTGCCAGGCAGAGCCGTTACCTGAGGTCTCCTCTGAGCTTCTTGCTCTCCCTGTGGTGCAGGAGCCACTTCCACCTCCCGCTCCTGTTCAGCTTCTCCAGCACCTTCACCACCTCCTTCAGCTGGCCTGAGGGGACACCAGAGCTCAGGGGGGGTGGGAGAGGGGACCTGGGGGTCTCTGGGCCCAGCCCTGCTCCAAGTGGGGCCACCTGAGCCCAGGGGAGCTTTGTCCTTTGTCCAGGGGAGCTTTGAGTCTCTGCAAGGAAGGAGACTCAAACTGCACGGGATGGGGAACCGGGATCATGTCCTGGTGTGATTTTTTTCCCTGGTATGTGAAAGGACACGTGCAGCTTGTCCCTGTCACCTCACTGAGCATCTGCCAGAAGAGGTGGCTCTGTTCTCTCTGCCACTTCCCACTAAGGAGCTGAAGGCAGCAGCAAGTTCTGCTTTTTCCACTGGATACTGGGAAGGAATTCCTGGCTGGGAGGGTGGGGAGGGGCTGGGCTGGAATTGCCAGAGCAGCTGGGGCTGCCCCTGCATCCCTGCAGTGTCCAAGGCCAGGCTGGACACTGGGGCTGGAGCAGCCTGGGACAGTGGGAGTGTCCCTGCCATGGAACTGGGTAATCCTTAAGGTCTCTTCCAACATAAACCATGCCATGAGTCCCCAGGCCAAACATCCTGGGCCAACCCTGCCCTGTCCTGGGGACCCCTGAGCTGGGCACTCCATCCCAATGGGATCCAAATGTCAGGGAGAGGCAAGAACTCCCCCTGGAAACAGAACCAAGGGGAAGGTCTGGGAATGTGTCAGTGAGACTCACCCAGGGTCACCCTTTCCAGCAGCTCCTCCTCAGACACCACGAATCCTCCGGCCTGGAAGAGCTCCTGGAATGTGTCACCTGTCACCTCCTCGGGGTCGTCCACGCCGGCGAACACCACGCTGGGACAGCGCTTCAGCTCCAGCAGGCACGGCACCTGCCCCAGGAACAGGGCTTGGGGAACAGCCCACACATCCAGGGAACCAGCCCAGCCCAGCCCTGCAGCATCCCAACATTGCTGTCCCCACATCCCAACCCAGCTCTGCGTGCAGGGACCCAATCCCTGGAATTGGTGAGCCAGGGGGAGGCTGGACAAGGGAAGCCCAACCTCACTGCTTTGAGCTGGGCTGCTCCCACTTTTTTAATGGATGCTGGCATTAGAGAGCAGGGCTGAGAGGAGGAGAAGGGGGATTCGGGCTCACGGTGTGGATGTGGGAGGCGATGTCCTCGTTCCTGACGATGACCAGCAGCCGCTCGCTGTCCCGGGGCTGGGCTCTGCAGAACTTCAGGGGCTCCATCCTCACAAACCCCGCTGCCTTCAGCAGGGCCTGCAACACAAACGGGGCAGCCTTGGGTGGGGAATGTTTCCCTGGGAACACGGGCAGAGGAAGGGGAATGAGCTGCCCAGAGGAATGGGGAGTCCCCAGCCCTGCAGGGATGTGAAAGGCACACAGGTGTGGCACTTGGGGACATGGGTTAATGGTGGCCTTGGCAGTGCTGGGGGATGGCTGGACTTCAAACTAAATCAGAGTAGTTTAGATGGGATCTTGGGACGGAATTCCTGGCTGGGCTGGAATTGCCAGAGCAGCTGGGGCTGCCCCTGCATCCCTGCAGTGTCCAAGGCCAGGCTGGACACTGGGGCTGGAGCAGCCTGGGACAGTGGGAGTGTCCCTGCCATGGGGTTGGAAATGGATGATGCTTGAGGTCCTTCCCACCCAAACCATTCCATGATTCTCCAGTGACCCAGTCCCAAAGCTCCTGTGCCTGTGATGCCAATTCCTGGCACTGGCAGCTGAGGTGGCTCCCAGCTTCCAAACCATCCCTGTCAGGTTTCCCAAGCTTCCCTGACCCTGCCATCCTCAGCTGTCCTCTGGGGCTGCCCATCCCAATCTGTTCCCCATCCATCCCCATTCATCCTGATCCATTCCCGTTCATCTTCATTCATCCCACCCATCCCAATCCACCCTGATCCATCCCCATTCACCCCGATCCACCCCAATCCATCTCCATCCACCCCAATCCATCCACCTCCATCCCACCCATCCCAATCCACCCTGATCCAACCCCATTCATCCTGATCCACCCCAATCCATCTCCATCCACCCCAATCCATCCACCTCCATCCCACCCATCCCATCCATCCCAATCCACCCTGATCCATCCCCATTCACCCTGATCCATCCCAATCCATCTCCATCCACCCCAATCCATTCCCATCCATCCCCATCCATTCCAATCCATCTCCATCCTCCCCAATCCATCCACCTCCATCCCACCCATCCCAACCCACCCTGATCCATCCCCATTCATCCTGATCCATCCCAATCCATCTCCATCCCCCCCAATCCATTCCCATCCATCCCCATCCATTCCAATCCATCTCCATCCTCCCCAATCCATCCACCTCCATCCCACCCATCCCAACCCACCCTGATCCATCCCCATTCATCCTGATCCATCCCAATCCATCTCCATCCCCCCCAATCCATTCCCATCCATCCCCATCCATTCCAATCCATCTCCATCCTCCCCAATCCATCCACCTCCATCCCACCCATCCCAACCCACCCTGATCCATCCCCATTCATCCTGATCCATCCCAATCCATCCCCATCCATCCCGATCCATCCCCATCCATCCCAATCCATCCCTATCCATTCCAATCCATCCCGATCCATCCCAATCCATCTCCATCCACCCCAATCCATCCACCTCCATCCCACCCATCCCAAGCCATCCCAATCCACCCTGATCCATCCCCATTCACCCTGATCCATCCCAATCCACCCTGATCCATCCCCATTCATCCTGATCCATCCCAATCCATCTCCATCCACCCCAATCCATCCCCATCCATCCCAATCCATCCCCATTCATTCCAATCCATCCCGATTCATCCTGATCCCAATCAATCCATCTCCATCCACCCCCATCCATCCCGATCCATCCCCATCCATCCCAATCCATCCCCATTCATTCCAATCCATCCCGATCCATTCCCATCCATCCCAATCCATCTCCATCCACCCCCATCCATCCCGATCCATCCCAATCCATCCCTATCCATCCCCATCCATCCCCATCCACCCCAATCCATCCCAATCCACCTCCATCCACGAACAGCTCCCACCTTCACCCTGTCGAAGAAGGGCTCCTTCCCAGTCTCCAGCAGGTAGAACATTCCGGGCCGCGCGCCGGCGGCCACGCGGCGCAGGTGGCAGCGCAGGGCCCCGCACAGCTCCGTCACCAATCCCCGGAACGCCGCCGTCCGGCCGGGCTGGGCCTCCCCCCGCGC